ATGTCGCCGCGGCAGCAGCAGGCGGTGAAGGGCGAGCCCCTCCCACTGCCCCGAGCCGAGCGCTACTGGATCACCACCACGTGTTTATTGCCGGCCGCTGCCGCCCCGTCCCAGCGGAGCACTGCCCACAAGCGCAGCGCGGGCCGGGCCGGGAAAGGGTGACAGTTTAACGGTGGCTCCAAAATGAACGTGGGGAGAGGGAGAAAGGGCGGGGAAGGACAGGAAGGAGCAGCCTCGGGGGCGGTGCCAGCCCCACCCCACAGCGGGGCCAAGGACCGCAGCCGCTTCTGCCTCACGCAGAGCAGGAGGTGGGCGTCATGGCTGAGGAGTGCTTTGGTGGTGCTGCAGCAGACCACGCTGTCGTTCATCTGGTATCACTGCCCGTTGCTGGCCTGCAGGAGGAGAAGACAGAATGGGGTTGGGCTGTGTCCAGGGCCTCTCCTGGCCCGAAGACCAGCAGCAACAGCACCCGTCTGCAGCCAAAGCCCACAGCAGCCCTGGCCAGGCAAGAGGACCCTGCAGAAGCACTTCCTTCAGCGGAGCACAGCCTGTACCCACCATTCCTACAGTGCTCCCAACCACGCACATCTGCTGAACACTTTCTGCAGCCGGCAAGGATGCAGCAGCACCCACCAGCCCTCAGCCCAGAGTGCCATGTGCTCACCTTCACATAACAACAGTAGTGCCTCATCTGGCAGCTGTACCCAGAGTGTACCAGCACTGCACAGAGCACAGATGTGACAGGAGCCCTGCTGTTCTCAGATGTGTATGGGTGGATGTTCAGGGCCTCAGGGTATGCCACAGTCTACAGAGGAACGGAGGGTGTCTCAGGAGCCTGCACAGCAGACGGGTTTCTTGCTAGAGCAGGAGCAGCTCAGCTGTCCTGCAAGTCCATCTCTTGAGGGAGCGGGACCTGCACTCCCCAGGCAGATGTCACCATGAGGAAGGTTCCAGGATGTGCTCAGAGCGCATGGCTGGGCAAGGGCAGCAGGACCGCTTCCCACCCTGCTGCTGGGGACAGGAGGCAGTGACTGCACCGAGCTGCAGCCTAGTATCTGATGACACTGCGGAAACAGGCAAGGTGAGCAAAAGGCAGAGGCACATCCTCCAAGGCAGATCTCATGCTGTAAAAGACACTGTCAGGACTAACAATGTCATGAGGGCGCAGGGTGCTTGGGCATACTGGGGCCTGTCCTGGGCAGGGAGGAGCTGGGAGTAAATCTTTACGCCAGCTGCCAAAGTCATTAGCGCCTCAGGCACGACCCTGTGCCTCCAGCCTCCAGCCGGGAGAGCTGGTGGCTTGTCTGCCCTAATGGCCCTTTGGAGCACTGGTGTGTGCTCTCTGGTGCTTAGAGGTCTATGCAGCTGCCTGGTGCTGCTCCTTCCTTCTCCTCCCCTTCTTTTCCCTCCTTGCAGCAGAGGTGGGCTCCCAGTCTGGGTGGACACTGCGTCCCTGGACAAAGAGGGAGAAGTTCAGGGAGGAGAGAATTCAAGGAGCCAGGGGCACAAAGGATCCTGCCCTCGGGGCCACACAGGCACCCTTGACTCAGCAAGATCCCTCCTGCAAACAGCTTGCTCCCTGCCTGACTGCAGCAGAGCAGCCTGAGAGGCAGCAGCTCCCAGCTCCCATGAGCACTGCCCAAGAGAAGCCTCCAGGACTCACCAGTGATGGGAACAGGGGCCTGTGGCTCACAGTTTTCTTTGCCTCTTTGGAGACTGTGCACTCGGAGCCAGTCAGCTTGGAGACAGCTCTGGCAATGGGCCTGTCCAAGCTCTTCTCTGGGCCAGAGAGTCTGGAAGAGAAGGGCACAGGTTAACTGTGAGTGCTTGACCAAATGGAATGCTCTCGATCAGAGCTGCACCTGAGAAGCAGGAGTCAGCAGCTCCGAGGAGGGTGATGCTCTTCATCCACAGCAAAACCATGGCAAGGGGCTGGACCTCTCCAGCCACCCTCCTCTGAGCCAGTGCTTGGGTGCTGGGGCCGCTTGGGCCAATCTCCGTCCCACACCAGGCATGTGGTGCCAGCCCTGCCCTTCAGCGGGGCTGGGGGCTGCAGGTGCTCCCACCTCACATAGAAGAGCAGGTAGGCCTCCTGGTTCAGCACTGATTTGATGTTACTGTGGCAGACCACGCTGTCATTCATCTTATACCACTGCCCATTGCTGGCCTGCAGAAGGAGCAGAGAGAATGGGGTTGAGCTGTGTCCAGGGCCTCTCCTGGCCCAAGGACCAGCAGCAACAGCACCCACCAGCAGAGCTCCTCTGGCCAAAGCCCACAGCAGCCCAGGACAGGCAAGAGGACTCTGCATGAGCCCTTCCTGCAGCAGAGCACAGCCTGTACCCCCCATCCCTACAGTGCTCCCAACCACGCACATCTGCTGAACACCTTCCTTCCTGGAGACAGCAGTGAGCCAGCAGCACCCACCAGCCCCCAGCCCAGAGTGTGCTGTGCTCACCTTCACATAGCAGTAGTAGTGCCCTGCATTGCAGCTGTACCCAGAGTGTACCAGCACCGCATAGAGCCACACATGACAGGACCCCCCCTTGTGAGAACAAGACGTCTGAGGGCGGATGTTCAGGACCTCGGGGTATGCCACAGCCTGCAGAGGGACAGAGGGTGTCTCAGGAGCCTGCACAGCAGACCAGTTTCTTGCTAGAGGAGGAGCACCTCAGCTGTCCTGCAAGTCCATCTCTTGAAGGAGCAGGACCTGCTCTCCCCAGGCAGAGGTCACCATGAGGAATATGCCAGGACGTGCTCCCAGGGCACAGCTGGGCAAGGGCAGCAGGACCACTTTTCACCCTACTTCTGGGGCCAGGAGGCAGCCCCAGCTCTGCATTGCTGAGCACTCACTTTCGTGATTTTCTGCTCTTCATAGAAAGAGAACCACTTCAATGAGAGCACGAGAACGTTGGAGGATCAGTGGATGCTGAAGCATTTGGTGGGCAACACTCTTACTGCATCTGCACAGGAAGAGCTGTGTTACTCAGGCTGTTCCACCACCCAGATGATTGCCAACTC